GTTTGTATTCAATATATGAATGAATTTGTTTGTACAGTGTTGAAAATTGTTGATTTTCTTTGAAAAATGTGAATATAACAACGTTCTTTCATCTGTGTAAAGTTTACATTTTGTGATGTAATGAATTTCATCCTCAAGTACTGTAAAATGACTAATTTTCACTGGGTTTAAATTTCACTGATTTACCATTTCAGGCATATTCAGTGGGTTTTAAATTCACGGTTTCGTCATTTAGATAATGTGTTCTATGCTAAATTTTACATATTCACTGTGTTTTAATTCAGTGCATATTTCCAGTCAGCGAAATAAGCTAAATTAAAACCCAGTGAATAATTACCCCCTTTACAGTAGGTTGCATTTAGTACTTTTTCTGTCCTCTGTTTTTATATGTAAAAGCAAAACACATAAGTGAGAAATATCATCTTTTCTCTTCAAATAGATCACTGTTGAATGTTGATCAAATAATAAAAAGAAAAAAAACATACTGTATTTGTCAATTTCCTCCCTGAGTTCCTGTGTATGCCACAATACTGCGGCAAATACCGCTTTCACGGCTGTATCAATGTTAGCACCACCCATAGAGGGTAAGGGACGTAGAACACGGCATCTGAAAAGAACACAAAGCATGAATAAATGTGATTACAATTTCTTAAATTTGTGACTTTGAACTATTAAGTGACATATAATATGTATTCCACAAAACATCTCAGAAATACATCAATATACAACATTGAACTTTGGTGAATTGAAATTAAACCAAATCATTATGCTTTGAAGTGTGAAAAGAGTAACCTAGGTAACAAAGTTTCAGTTTGTCACTAATGTCAAAGAGTTGATGGCTGCAAGTTGAAAAGTTGTTAGTCCTGCTTTAACATTGTTGGCCAAAAAAAAAAAAATATATGAAAATGAAAATATGCACACTGAGATAAGTTTTTCACCATAATTGTGTCATTGTGAACAGTATGTATCATTTTCACGTTCATCAACAGATTCAAGAAGCATGTCTGTCGGGTCAGCCTTGTCAGCCCTAATGTAAAGTTCTAGGCTTTGACTATTTTTTAAACACTGCTAGATATTATGAAGACACATTGATGACAGGTATTATAATTATTAAAGACTTTTCACACAGATTGGACAACAAAAGTGTAAAGCACATTTAATATTGAGACGACAGATTATTGCAAAATTAAGTAGTAGTAAACTACTCATTGAGGTCCTAGAGACAAAAAGTCAAAGAGACTTTCATTAAATTTCTAAAATAATAACAATGAAGTATACCACCAACTCAAAATCATACACACATAACAAAAATAGTCTTACTTGTTTAACAGTTCTGTTGACAACCCTGCTTCCTCCTCGGCTACATTAGTAAGAAATGCATTGACAACTGACTCAGATGAGCTGGTCTCCTAGGAAAAAATTACAATTAATTAATAACATAGTTACACTATTGAACACCTTACCCACGATGTCGTAAGAGATATGTTAATACGATGAAATGACCATAAAACAAAAACTGTAAATGAATTGTAATCACTGTAGAATGAATCAAAAACAACAAAATTACCACCTATCGACCATTTTAAATTAAAATGGCCATTTGTGCCATATTTGATTATTGCATATGTGTATGATTTTGACGAATTAAAATGGTCTCCATTCAACCATATTCAGATGCATCTTGAATTGAATCGTAAAAAAAAATGTACATATGTGTTATGTATGAAGTTTGGACATGATAGATCTGGACATGTTACGTGATATAGATAAAGAAATGAATATCTAATTCTAGGCAAATTTTCATGTATATACACACTAGTCACTACAAAATTGAATTCTTCAATTACAGATTCCTCCTTCTGTTTAAGCGACGGGTAAGAGAGGATATTTTCACCAACATCTCGAAAAATATATGAGCTAGCCCCACCAAAATTGAACTGCAGCAAGATTATAAATAAGTTGATAATATCGAGTCTGAGAAATGATTGAACACAAATTTTCCTGTCGCCAACAAAAAACAGCGATGACAACAATTGAAACTACATGTAATCCTGTTGCCAATATTAATTGAATTCTAAAACTTTATGTTCAGGTGTTTAGATCACCTTGCTCTCTCCTTGTGAACATGACCACCCAATCACATCTCCCACAGTTAAACCACCAAGCTGCAATACTAGTCTTTTTTTCAGTTTTTTAGTAAGAGAAGAAACTCACAAAGTTTCCAGATAGTGATCTTGTAATTTTTCCCACCATGTAACCACCTCGAAACAATGTGCTCCAGATATCACTTCTTAAGAGTGATAATTCATCATCATCTTGTCCATCGATTGACTTACTGCTCTCAGTAGTAGCAATCTTAGCTACCCCTGATACAAAAATAGAAATGGTTTAATATGAGTTACTAATAGGAAAACAGTATGTTGTGAAGCACTGACCACTTAGTTTTGTAGATATCAGAGTACATTTCTCTAAATCGATGTATAATCAGGGCTGTAAAAACTATCATGTTTCAACCTACATTTGCAATACAATAGTTTGGCCCAGAATTGATGCACAAAGAATATAGGGCTCTCCAAACATGGATGAATATAATTTTAGTAGTGTTTACAGAAATGAAATCTTGTACACAAATGTAAAGTGGGGTTCTATTTACCTTGTCTTGTGTCCATTGTTGAAGCACAAAGTTTACCAAATAATTTGGAAAGACCAAGTTGTAGATCAAACAACCAAGATAGAGAGACATCAGGACAACCTTTAGCAGCCACCTGGTAAAAAAGAATGTACTTTAATGGTAACACAACTTCCTTACAAAACCAGGCTTATAGAACAGGGTAACTTGGCTTAATTGCTGCTTGTCTTAAGTTATAACACAGCACAAGTCATACACGACAGAGAACAATGTCCTAAACAACATTCATGCAATCTTTTAGGTATCCAATTTCTACATTAATTATATATTTTTTATATTAATGTTTCAAATCACATAGGAATCCTATTGGACATTTTTATGAAGAAGTTCATTTCCTAATATGAATTCAAGTTTTTACAGTAACAAATAAACCACCATGTGGTTAAAATCTACTCACTGTGAATTTATATCCCCATTCATTATTACTACTATCCGAGTGAAAGAGAAATTGCAGTCTGGGTCCACCTTTGAATTTGATTGACTTCGGCCACTTGTCACTGCCAATCTTCTGATCAAATCTCTGTTTGACTCCTCGGGCATCAGTGAACTCTAGATAGTCATATCTGCAAAGAAAAGTAATGTGAATTGCAGAGAAAGTTTTGAGAGAAGAGGAGGAGTGATGGGAAATGAATAGAGTTATAAGAGAGTGAAGTAAAGATAGATATGACAGGAGAAGTAAAGGCAGTTGTAGAGGAAGAGGAAGGAGTAAGATAGATGAGAAATAGGGGAAGAAGTAAAAAAGACAAGAAGTAAGCAGAGTTATAAGAAGGGCAGAGAAAGATTAAAAGACGAAATTAGTGATGAGAGCAAAAGAGAGGCACTGTTTGTGCAAGTACTGGAAGGGTGAGTATTCTTTCTCCCTCAATAATAAATGTAGGCACATTCAAACATGTGTAATTACTGATTCTGGAGTAATTCTAACCTTTTCTCAGTTTCACATCTGGAGTCAAATTCTACATGGAAAGATGAGGCACCGGGACAGTAGAATATCTGAGTAATGTGTAGATTGTTTTCATAATTATGTGTAGACTCAATATTCCATGTACGTAAAGTTACACTTTCTTGATTCACATTCTTCCAAGCTATACTGTCCACCTGTGTAAAGGAGGAAGGGCATAAGAGAAGTCATGGTGTTCAAAAAAGAAAAGGATTTACTTTGATCTGCTAATATTAAGCTCACTAATTAAAAGAACATGTTTTATAAGTACAAACAAACCTACGTCTTTTTATTACAGCAATTCCTCTCAGCTGCAATAATAATTGAGAACTACCTGCACAATAATACAACAGTAATAAGGTATCCATTTGCTCGTTTTATAAAACATAAAATAAGCAAGGAAAGAAAATATTCTTCATATCAGAAAACATAGATATGATAATACAAGTTATTTTTAAAAATTCTTCAAGAAGCCAGCTACATTAACCTAAAAGAATTTGAAATCCAATATGACCACCATACACACCTCCCACCTAAAAATTCTTCATAAGTGAAGAAGCTGATAACAATTATGTGATAAAACAATAGGTGATTTTCTGTTCAACTGCGAGATCTCACGAGTTGCATGAAAGACGTGCGTCGAACGTCTGCCGCAAAAACTGAACGATTTGATTTTGAACTCGAATTTCTTTATTTCATAGCTCACATCAACCGGCTGATCTTCAACAGAGGAATATTGCTTTCGAATACCCTCACTTAATCAAAATTGCTCATCGTCAAACGTGTACAGCACATTATTAAGCTTGAAAATGTCCCCCAAAATACATTTGCATTTGTCGAATCCCGTGCGAAGTCTGATGCCACTACGTCGCTATGACCTTTGTTTGTCCTGTTTTTACGTTCGATTTCACGTATAACGTGTGATTCTTGCAGTGAACGGAAAATGGTCAATTCCCATGTGGTCAAATAACAAGTGTCAGTGACATTGCAATACAACTTCACAAATGCCAACAAATCTTCAAATCAAGAAAATCTATAGCAGCAAAAAATAATCGATAAACAGTAATATGCCATGTACTTACATCATGGAATATTTTTGGCAATTCAGGTGCGATGCATCTCAGGTTCTCTGCAACGGGTTGTAAATTGGTTATCAGTTGAACAGAAGGTAAATGCTGGTCACTGAGTAATGTGAGAGAAAGAATCTGAAAAGAATAAATTTATGCAAAGTGTTGAATCAACATAGTAATTTAACGGTTAGAAAAACAAGAAATACAACATGATAACTACAATTCTGTTCTGTAGTATAAATGCACTTATTAGCTGCAAAAAAAAAAAAAATGGTCACGATGTAAGATCTTCAAGCAAGGTATACACAGGAATTTATTTTACATATTTATATATATGATTATTGGGTTTGTAGACTTAAAATGGTTGCCTGCCAGCAAAATAAATAATCATGAACTAAATTTACATGTATATGTTAAAAATCATTGAGGTTATACCAATTCTGACAGAAGGACAGTACCTCAATAACGAGTCCCTGTTTTCCAACTTACCAACTGTCTTAGTGTCGTTGCCAAGAAGGAATTCTCTAGTTTGGCTACAAGACCTGATTTATCATCTGAATCTATTTTATGTAGAATATTCAGTACAGTACATGATTTCTCACTATGCATGGCAGTGTCTGTAATAACAATGAGATAATGTATAATTATAGTTATACATGGTTAGCAGAAAGTCCTATGTAAATCATAGTTACTATGAGAAAACTTACATCTGAGTATCATAGCAACAGCAGGCTGTCTGTGTTTAGTATTCTCTGACTGTAACTGCTCACAGCACCATGACATCAAGCTTGTTTGTAATGCACATAATAATTGGACTAGATTAGATGAGGCATCTTTCTGTTCTTTCCCAGCCAACAAGCATTCACACTGAAATGAAGAAAAAGAAATGGTTATGCATGTTGGAAATTCTGATTATTTGGTATAATGTGCAAGACAAATGAAGGCACGATAGATTTTTCATATAGCAAATACCGGAGTATTACTTATTTGGCTTAACACATAACTTTTGAATTTAGATTATAAAGATAAACATTATGTTATCCTGTTGGTTTATAATACAAGTAATCGATTCTCGGGGGCGGACATCCAGGTATTTTCACTGCATGGCAACCATCACAGTGAAAACAAAAGCCAAAAACTCTCAGAAAACGGTACTTTGGGATGGTTGTTGGTACTCCCCTGAACAGTGTAACAAGATTACCCATGCATGTGTAACGCATATAAATTTGATTGTTCAGGATTACTTCAAAGTTGAGTTCCTGTTGTTTTCTTGAACTTTCACCGGCTCTTCGGTCAGCGTTCCTCAGCAGCGCACTCAGTGCCCATAGAAATACGTGGTACAGTGGTGCGCATATTAGGTATGTTGAATGTCTTGTGACATAGCTCCGCCCCAGACTGATGGCATCATCATAAAATGCCCATGCGTATGCTGCCCTCTGGTGGGGTAGACTTGTAATTCTATTGTTTTTTTTATAAGAACTGCTGATTTTGTATTAATTTTAACATGACATTTTTTAGAATAAATGTTTTAATAAAAATGAAAGAAAAAAAACCTACCTCTTTGAAAGCAACAGATAAGAGTGTTTCCATTACAGAGAGAACAGGTTCAACATCAAAGTCCTCCTGGTGAGATCCGGTAAAGCAAAATGAGTCCCATGTACAATTGCATGTACAATTGAGAAGCAACAGCTGAATGGTAAATGTTATTTGTGTGTATGATTGAAATTTGCTCACATAACTTGTTTAATGATACTGTGAAATCAGCTGAACACCAGCTATATATATACATGTATTAGTTATGTTTTATGTGCTATACTATTAGTGGTGTTTTATGTGCTACATTAGCTTTGATGTTTTTGTAACAATGTGTTGTGCTACATTGTGCTAGTAGTGTTTTATGTGCTGCATTAGCTTTGAAGTTTTTGTAACAATGTGTTGTGCTACATTGTGCTAGTAGTGTTTTATGTGCTGCATTAGCTTTGATGTTTTTGTAACAATCTGTTGTGCTACATTGTGCTAGTAGTGTTTTATGTGCTACATTAGCTTTGATGTTTTTGTAACAATGTGTTGTGCTACATTGTGCTAGTAGTGTTTTATGTGCTACATGTACTAGTGATGTATTATGTTCTACAATACTAGTGGTGTTCTATGTGCCACATAAGTAGTGATGTTTTATGTGCTACATTAGTGTTGTTTATGTGCTACATTAATAGTGATGTGCTATGTGCTACATTAATAGTGAAGTGATATGTGCTACATTAATAGTGATGTGCTATGTGCTACATTAATAGTGAAGTGATATGTGCTACATTAATAGTGATGTGCTATGTGCTACATTAATAGTGATGTGCTATGTGCTACATTAATAGTGATGTGCTATGTGCTACATTAAGTGATGTGCTATGTGCTACATTAATAGTGATGTGATATGTGCTACATTAATAGTGATGTGATATGTGCTACATTAATAGTGATGTACTATGTGCTACATTAATAGTGATGTGCTATGTGCTACATTAATAGTGATGTGCCATGTGCTACATTAATAGTGATGTGCTATGTGCTACATTAATAGTGATGTGCTATGTGCTACATTAATAGTGATGTGATATGTGCTACATTAATAGTGATGTGTTATGTGCTACATTAATAGTGATGTGTTATGTGCTACATTAATAGTGATGTGCTATGTGCTACATTAATAGTGATGTGATATGTGCTACATTAATAGTGATGTGATATGTGCTACATTAATAGTGATGTGATATGTGCTACATTAATAGTGATGTGTTATGTGCTACATTAATAGTGATGTGCTATGTGCTACATTAATAGTGATGTGATATGTGCTACATTAATAGTGATGTGCTATGTGCTACATTAATAGTGATGTGCTATGTGCTACATTAATAGTGATGTGCTATGTGCTATATTAGAAGTTATTTGTTACATTAGTAGTAATTTGGTATAAGCTACATTTAAGTAGTGATGTTTTATGTGCTGCATGAATAAGAATTATGTATGTGCTCCAAACCCCCTTGTACTTCATTGTGCTTATTTTGTTACTCTACATTTCAAAGTCCATACCTTTGGTGGTGATGTTGGCAATGCAAGTAAGCCACTGGGATCCACACTACTGTAATATCTACACAGAGAGCGGAATGTCAGAAAAGCTGAAGTCTGCTGTGGATTCTGAGAAATGAAAATTATATACATTTAACAGAAACAATAGCAAGAAGTGTATCAACTAGTTATTGATGAATTGTTGCTGTACAAATATTACAGACATATTATGTGTGGCTCCATAATTCAATGTGATAAAAAATATGCAACAAAAACATTGGGATCATCAAAATTTTAAGATCATATAAGTGTAAATGTTCACTATTTTATAATTCTAGGTATGCAAAAATCACAAAATTGTTGTCACTATAAATACAAGCTTGAGTAACCTCCACTATTATACTTGCATTTCTGGGAAAGGGAGGGGGGGGCCAGTTTCCTAATTAATATGCATTTTGAGAAATCACTGTGTGTGTGTGTATTACAAACATGTGTGCAATCATGCAGAGAACTACACACGAGTAGTGCCAAACTGGTTGACGATTGAATTGTTTTGCAATAGTCACAATTTTATGGCTTTTATATTTCTATGTAATGTTTGTAAGTTTCGTAGAGGTTTATTCTGTAAAGAAATCACCGAAATGATTTCATCTATTCGTAAAAGGGACACTTCGAGGATGGCCTACAAATTGAATTGAAATTTTTTTTCTCCATTTTTACCTTTTAAGCCAAGGGGGTGTTCAATCACAGAATAATTGTATTTGAGTAAGATCATGAAAGTCACACTCACCATTACAAACTGCATCATATTAAACAGCTCTTGTCTTCGTCTTTCCTTATTTGGAAAAAACACTGCAGCACCTGTGACCAAGAAAATTAACATCAATTAACATTGGTCTGGCAATGCATCATGGGAGATGTAATATGCTAATAAAGTGCCGTTTCTAGAACCCCATGACTCTGTTTCTTACCATCTAGTATAGCAATTTTGGCAGCTTCATATCTCAATGTTGTAGGTGGATCGTCATCACTTTCCATGGATGTATCAATGATATTACGCAAAGTATCAAACATATCAGCTGCACATTTCAGCTCAGTCCTAGCTGCTTCTTTGGTAGATTCCTACACAGAAATATAAACATACATCAACATTGTTATATTCTTTATGGCTAATCTCAGTGTATATAACATAAAATACAACAGGGGCACTGAGACATTATACTTTCAAACTGTTTGTGTTCAGTGGTGTTGAGATATGTTTGCTGAATAACATTCAAAGTGGACTTGAGATGGAAATCGTAGGGCTTTGATGAACGACAAACAAATTCTTTAAGAGCATGGACCCTATCAGCTGAAAGAGTGAAGAGAAGACAAATACCTTTATGTCTCTGGAATCACTGCCGATTATTTCATTAGCTTTCTGTATTTCTTTGTTTAACTGCGGCAAACACAGATGTAACAACCTTAGCGTCAAAACCTTAGAATACAGCCATATGCTCTCACTGTAAAATAAACATATCCACCATCAGTCACAGTACGATTGACCATGTTTGTTCTTGTCCAAAGCTAATCCAAACTGAACGTCAAGTTTCAACGTATTCAACAACATTCAGTATACATTGAAACTATAATATGTTCTGAGCTATAGATATTATGCTCTTGAGTATTTACTTCCTTGCGAAAAGTTGAATGATATGTACATGTAGTAAGATGCAGAGGCAAAAGTAGAGACATGTTACTTTGCCTCACAGAAATAATAATCATGATACCACACATTCCCTCTATTTTCATCCATGAATAACCTCTAATTACTGCACTGACTATCCCTCTAAGCACAAAATCCTAAATCATGCATGGTCATCTTACCTTGTGTCTGGTATTTGTTTATGCAGATTAGATATTATAAACATGGAGATTCCTGCCAGATCTAAACTAGTACCTTTCAAATGCTTGTCTTTCTTCTTCTGTATATCCTCCTGAAAAAATCATTTGACCAATATTCATTTTGGGTGTCTATTTCAGAAGATTTCCAGTATACCACAAGAGGGCGCTCTTCATGGCAGTGGTTTATTTTTAGAGGAAATATGTAGGACTGTTTAGAAAGTACAAGACAAATTAGCTTTCCACACACCCATGTGTAACTTAGGATAGAGACACGAGTAATTTCATTTATTGAAGATAGAGCCCCTCAAATGCACACCACATCCATGAACTATCTTTTTTAAAATGACTTTAATAAATATTTATGATATACTGCTAAGAAAACAAGATTGTTTCATTTCATTTTAAATTTACATAATTGTTACTTGTATTCCCACACATGTTTATGAGTAAAAAGTAAAAACCTGCATCAAAAATATAAATTGTGTAATAAATATGTCTGGTGACAACCACAACATAAGAGGTCTGATTGTAAACAAACAATATAGAACAAGAAAACCTAAGTGCAGAGATCAACATATGGTACACATAAAGGTGTCACACAATGTAATTGCATATGGATAAAAGTTAATTTAAATGTGTGCAACTAATGACTGCTGCTATTGAAGGGTAGACAGACCTAACGCAAAAAATAACTGCAAACAGTTTTTCACGAAGCATAAAATATTTCTTTGAAGAGTAACTGATAAAAAATGAACAATTCATAGTAAAGCATTATTTCATAGAAAATAAACAGTATTTGTCAGGATTCTCCATAAGTAGCAGTCCCATCTTATACTTGGGTAATCACAATATGTACCTAATTGAAATTTTGAGAAAAGACGAAACTGTTTTATTATAGGAACAATCATAAATGGCTCAAAAATCACCTTTTCATGGATGTTTGACAAATTATTTGTGCAAAATTAGATATTTTTTGTGAGCAACAGCATAAAATAAAGCCAAATTGTAAAACACAAAAAATCTTTACACTATTGGGGAAATCACCAAGTCATAGATGTTATTTCAGCCAAATATAACAAATCCTTAATGTATCTTTTTAAAGTGCTTTTACTAGTTAGCCATGTCCACCCTTACATAGAATTCTTATTTTAAGAAACTCAAGATTGTCCTAGTTTTCCAATTCACCCATCTTCCAGGCAAGTATGGCAACATGCACTGCCATATTTCTGCTGAAAGTTGTGCTACACATGTACACATGCCAAAAAAAAAAACTCTCACTAATTTTAGTCACATATGCATGAAGCATTGATCTCTATTTCTATGAGCTGCTGAACTGCAAATATTCAAATTTAGTAACTTGACCAAAAGTGATCATAACAAACCACTGTGTACTGTGACATGCTCAATCAATGGTCAACCAGGATTATTAATTTTACAACAAAAACACAATGAAAACAAGTGAACAGATTTTCCTTGGGTTTTCCTGGGGCATTTTTCCTATGTGCCCTGAGGGAAGTAACTATGCAATAAGCAGAGTATTTGTAGCAAGCAAGTATGCAAATAAGTATGTAAATTAGTTATGCAAATCAGTATGTAAATAAGTTAAGCAAATATGTATGCAAATCAAAATGCAAATTATCATGCATATGAAATTAAAATTAGCATTCTCCGCCCACCCAAAGTCTTAAAAAAAAAGTAAGGGGTAATCAGAACTGACCTGTACTTGGCAATCTAAATTACTGTAATGAAGATACTGGCAAGGACAGATGCAGACACAAATAAAGAGGGAAAAAAGTGCAGTAAATAAGAAATGATGAAAAGGTATGAAGAGAAATAATAGCAAGGGGAGTTTTATTATGATTACAAATCATATAGCAATGAGGAGCATTATGCAAGCAAAATGTCACCAAGGAAAAATTATGGTACCAGTCAATTTTTGCTTATATCGCTAGCTCATAGTTGAGCAAATCTTTAACTCTTTGAGCTCCAAAGTTAACTTTTTTCACCTTCCACAAAATAAATTTTTCCATATTTTTTCATGTGATGATTTATTACGTCATTTTTGGTTTAAAATTAATACAAAAAATAGAAAATTATATAGAGATGTGCAAAACGCGTTTTAAAAAAATTTCAGCAGGAGAAATTATTGGCGTTCAAGGGGTCCCACCAAATTACTTACCACTAATATTATGAAAATTACAGAACAAATTGCAATACAAATCTTTTTACCAGTGGTGAAAAAGATTAAAGAATGATTTCAGCGAGACAAGTCTTACTTTGACGTAGAAACGGTATTTCTTTCACATCATACCACTGGTTAGATTAGGTTTTATGCAATGGTCATTGCAATAAAATATCACTTTTTAATTTATTTAAATATTATGTTTAATACATTGAAATGAAAATAGTACAGATACCAGTTATACTAAGGTCATGGGTTTTTAAAGAGACAATTATATAATGCATAGTATATATTGCCACGGAAATTATTCATTGCGAGGTCAGCATATTAACCAAGATACTTGTTTTTTATACACAATGGGTTATATTGTGTGATCATATTTCACCATATTTTCTCTATTAGAAGTGCATCTCCAACTGAAGCACATATAAACCGAAAATTGCATTTGTTTAGAATGTTACTTATTTTGACAATACGTCTGTGAAGTTATCCAACATCGTGATAATTTTGTCAGCTTCCATTACCGCAGTGTACATAATCTGACAATTTACACCACTGTGGGCAATGGAAATTTAAAATATTGACAAATTTCAGTTTGGTTACCTCATCTATTATTTTAGATTAGGATTAAACTTTTAGAAGAGAGTTTGACTTACCAAGTCTCTTCCCATCTCTACTATAAACTGTAAAATCTTTAAAAAGACTACACTGCATTGTACAATACTATCAGGACTATCAGGAATATGAACCAGTGAACCCTGTCAAAGCAAACAGTAATATTAACAGTACACCAGATTTTCTCCTGAATTATTTATGTATCATCAACTATTCTTTCAGATTGATTCTTATTGCTGGCTTGTTTCCATCGCTATCTACTTGGCTTCAGAACATTGTATCCCGAGCAGATCAATCTTGGACTAGATGATAGAAAAATACTGTAAATGTAATAATTATTCACTGGGTTTTAATTTCGCTAAATTAAATCTTATGAACATGAAAAAATAACAACAAAACTCATTGTTTCCTTGACAAATTTGTGAAATTAAAACCCGGTGAATATGCTCAAAACAGTAAAATTAAATGTCAGTAAAAATAAATGGTTTTACAGTATTCAAGGCCACAGTAAACAACTGTAAGAAATAAACATTCACATAAGGCTATTCACACTAAATTAAATTGTATTGAGTGTGACTGAGTTTATGTTTCAGAGCCCGCAATATAATACAGTACTTACCATGTCCATGTTGTCCAAAGCTGATGAGCTTCGATGATATCCGTACAGTTTGATTCCCAGGATACCAAGTCGTTCCGCTGAATCACTTCTTGGTTCGATAAGCTTTATAAGTATATATTTACCAATTTGACAAGAATCCACAGGTATGTCCACCTCATCCCTGATTAACAGATATAAAAATAGTTTATTAACAAATTCAAGTCTTCAAAAAAATCAAACTTTTTTGAATTGAGAAATTGTATCTAAAAAAAAAGCGACGAAAGTTGCTGAAAAAGACGTTAGCAACAACCCTCAGTTTTCCATCCACACAGACATCCTTATTTGGTTTCTATAAAAGTTTTGAACTAAAAATAAAACAATATCACTCAGAGATTTTAATTAAAAGTTTAATATTTTGATTAACATATTTTATTTTAAAATACTTCAAAACGAAACTATGACCGACATCATCACACTGGCAAGACAGCATCACAGTGTTTCATAGAGCATTAAACAAACACACTACGCAGTGAGGGAAAGCAAAGCTACATAGTAATGATTTTAAAATTAATTTACCAGTCATCTTCAAGAGTAAAGTAAGCCACAGGGTTATCTGTCTTTGATATGATAGATGCATTCCTGTAATCAATATGAATTTATCAGGTTACTTCAGAGTACTTGCATATCACAAACTAGAATACTATAAACTTTAAAATTAATGTTTATTATTTTAACATTTTATGCATAGTTCCAATTGCATGTCTTGAGCATGAAGACTAATATTCTGAAGATCCATACGACTTAAATTTTTCTATTCGTTTCTCCTGGTTAAATCGATCACTTTGAAAAAGATCAATAACAATAAAGATGGAAGTATTATTGCAACTGCAGCCAATTTAATATGAACAATAGAGGCTCTACATCAAACCAGAAATCAAAATCCAGTTATACATTATAAACTAAACAATTTTTCAATCATGGGTGTTTTGTTTTAATAGTGTTTATTATAGATATCCATAATACCTCATTTTATTCATAAAATTGTATGCAGATCCTGTCCAGGAATCATATGCCTTGAATCGCTCAAGATGTTTTTGCTGGTTGAATTCATCACTATGAAGAAATACAAACATGTTTTAGATATATGATTATATGTAGATTGTGTGTGTGCTAATGGTATGGTTGTTGACAGGTATTGCATTTTATTTGTATACTTTCCTAACGAAGACTGGAAGTAATTAATGTACCGGTAACCACAATTGTTTCTTCTGTTTAACAGCTGCAGAATACAGTTTTCAGTCTGTCAAGAAGTAATCTTACAAAATTATTCACCAGTATGCTTTTAATATAAATATATCTATACTTGATAGTTTTGATATAATATGATATAAAACTGAAATATGTACTCACTTGCAGTTGTACACAAATATACAGCCAGACTTTGGACCAATTCCACCTTTGTAAACCTATACAAGCAAAAATAAGAATACCGATAATACAAAAATACTTAAATGCATAAAATAATTAATGGAAATTAATAAACAAAAATATAGTGGGTAAGAAAGTCACACTGTGATTTCAAGAACAAGCTGTATAAGCTGTAAACTTTCTTTGTGCAATCTCTCTTGGTGTTATACCTCAGTAATATGAAAAGCAATATGTTTTTTGGTATTATCTCTTTATTGATTTGTATTATTCTACCTTTATTCTTATTCTTGTGACTTGTACCAAGTCGGAATCTTTACTTGTAAAGATCATATTGACTTTAGTTTTACTGTTTTCAGACAGGTAGGCTGAAGAAAACAAACAGGTTTAAATATGAAGCTGCAATTAAGATGCCGGAGTTAAGGAATAATGAGCACATAAAATGTTGTTGGGTTGTTGGAGGTATATTAAATTCAACCAGGCTGTGAGGGCTCTGAATACAACATGGTGCACAATCTGAAAATTTCGGACTCAAATAGGAAGATATCATTTTATGTGTATGTTTATGGAGCAAGTATACAATAGTTATGAATGGGAATAAAAACACATATTTTAATTCAATCTATCCTGGAAAGTTTCTAAAAGTTGCCTCTGTTTTACGAAAGGGTATTGCATTGAACATCTTACCTTCTGTTGACCAGTTATCAGTGAGAACATTACTGGGTGAAGAATTACTATCTCTCTGACCTCCATCACAGCTACACAGTGTTAACTGCAACACACTCCCTGAACACGTCAAAAAAACAATTAAACTCAATAATATGCATAATTGATAACCCTTTATAAAATATAGGGGTACATGTAAGTATAGTGTGCTCACAGCTGATTTCTTTATTAAATACATTTTGTATGAGTATTAAATAATGAAATTGAAACCAATACAGAAGAAATATATCCAAACGTATTTAGGAGTAGCTAGCCTTGTTTTCCTACAGATATCATGATGGATATATGTTTGGAATGTTCTTAGACAGACATTAAGGGTCCAGCATAGTTTCCAAATGCACAAAGTCTGAACCCATGACAACTATTGAATTCTGGCTACAATAACCCACTGACATGTGGACAAGCCTGTCTAGTATAGAAGTCATATGACTGCAAATTTAAATTATTCACTTACCGTATTTCTTCAACACCATATCTCTGACATTCTTGAGGGATTTCAACAATGGCACAACTTCCAAAGTACCATCAGCATTTTCTGTATCAACACACAAATATAAATATAATGTAATAATCCAATCCATGGAAAGTGATTAAATACCATATTTGCTCTATTAATAGGTAAATGACAGAGGTGTGTTCAAGTACTATTTTATTGGTCCGTTAGTTGATGTACGCCTTTTTTATTGCTTCTAATAGCTTTTGCAATTATGGTACATGGATAAAACAGTAAAGGCACTTTTAACCTAGCTCTAAGCAAAAATACAACCTACAAAACGAACATTCCCCGTAGACAAGGTTCTTTCCATCAAATGGATGTGAAATTTTCAAGTTGTTGTAACCACAAACAAAATTTATGATATAGACGGGCTAAAGAAAAAACCTTATAAACAGGACAGCTATGTAAGCTGAAAAATGTTTAATGTTTTGTTTTCAATAGATAGGTTTACAAACCAGTAGGCATTATTTGTTAATTCAAAATTAATAAATTAAGACCTGTATTAAAATCAACTTTCTGGCCCATTGGTTATCTTTTAAATAAATATATTTTTTTGAAAATTAACACGGGAAACATACAAATGCATTACATAACCACCACAAGTTTTCATTGCTTCAGAAGAAGACAAAGCAAAATTGTTTCTGACTGATTGACAGGTACTGTAAAATCTATATTAGAAGCTGCATTCTTTTTGAACAATTGAGAACTAAAATTTCACCATTTCCATATGTGTTGTTGCTCAAATAAAAGCCACATCCCATCTGCTGCATTGTACCATTTTAATAAGAAGCCTCAGTTTCTAATATTGATTTTACAGTAGATGAGCAAATACAAATTTTGAACGATTGCTATGGTGAATGGTCATGATTGCTAAGAGACAAAAAGATCCTTATATTAGTTTGTATGTTTGATGTGGACATTCTTGTCTACTCCAGTGGACTATGTGTCACGAGCACAAGTTTCAATCTCAAGCTATGAATTCCCTATGTTATAATATTGCCTATTAAGTATATAACAGGGATGCATGTTTTACAATCATAAGTAAATTCATGTACTCTTCCAGACTTGAACTTCACAAAGGCATCAGACCAAATTGACTTGATGCTCTCAGAGTGTGCAGAAATACAGAATATCCCCATACTTTTCTTATACACCAACTTGAAGGTAATTTTATCAAATTTAGCCTAGATACTTACCCTGTAAATAATTCAATGCTTTCAACATACTTGGTACATGTCCTCTAGCCAAGGCAAATGATAGCAGAACATGTATACCTTCAGAGCTCACTTTGCCATCTAAATCTCTGTACAGAATAAATAAAAAAAAAAACATTAAGAGGAATTAAAGTCACCATAGATTTGATGTCTTAGCAATATACAAAAGTATCAGTCCATCATAGTACACTGCCAAGTAAAAATCAACTACTTTTAAAAAACTAATTATTGAGAGGGTAATTGAATTAAAAACAAGATACAGTAAAAACATTTATTTTCACTATTTTGATGCTGTGAACAATTGCACTGTGTTATAAGTTCACAAACTTTGCAAGGAATCAATGAGTTCTATTGCTATTTTTATATGTTCATGTAGATTAAATTTAGCGAATTTTACTTAAGTAATGAAAATAATGAAATTAAAAACCAATAAATAATGCATGTACAGTAAAGCACTAGTAACAAGAAAATAGTCAACAGGACTAACAAATCCTGAGTTGTCACCATTTTTTTAAATATTCACAGAGCAATTACAAAAGGGATATACCTTAAACTTGCATACCATCCAGCAAAAAACAACAAAAATGCTAAAAGCATGTATACTTACAGGGACACAGTATGTAAGAATCTCTCAATTTCATCTAAGACTGGTGGAGTCAAGAAAGGTGGTCTATCAGATGATGCAGAAGACAGTGATAGAGGCGGCATATGAGATAACGCTGCCCTGAAAAAATACACACAAAGAAATTCTTTCTCGCCTTGATAGAAACATATTTATCTTGAACAATTGTATTTAAGAAGGTTCAAACTGAATTGAAAATTATATATCATGATTTAATATATCATGAATTCATACCATCAGAATACCAAAAATGAAAAAAAAATTGGGGTGATTATTATTATTGATATGAAATCTAACATTTTGAATTCATTTAAAAAAATTGACATATAGTGAAGTCAGTTTCCAGGGTGATAAATGTACTAGTTTTCCATTATACACATATATCTCCAATAATGCATTGCATATATGTGCAGTAACATGCCCAGCAGTTAAAAATTCATATCTACGACTCAATTTTGCTAAATGTAATTGGGACTGTAATTTACTGGCTGACTTCTTATACATTACACAAAACATGAAAGAAGAAAGGAATTTTGACTGAATTACAGTCATTCATCCAGTAAAGAGATCAAAGATAACATAATCTTACTTTGTATGTTGTATTATTGAGGATCTCAACTGTGGGGCTGTAGGAATTGCTGCTGTCGCTGTTGAGGCTAATACTGATAAATACCAAACTGCTGAGGCATCAGCCACACTAATGCCACCACTTTGAACCATTCTGCAAAACAAAACAAAAATTAATTTGAGATTGTATTATATTTTATCACCATAAAAATAAATAAACTCACATCCAGTGAACTAATCTGCTGCAAGAGTAAGATTCTGATTTCAAAAACAAAAATATCAGTAAAGTGAAAATGACTGTACCTATATCCTAATGTTTTGACACCATGTACCCTTGTATCACACCCATCACTATGACAACGTTTTATGTTGATCTGGATATATGGATAGTTCAACTTGGCATTCTCAATCAGCACGACGTCCCCAGTAACGTTACTAAAGTGTGCAATTAAAAAAATGACAACACTTGTAATTTTGAGCTCTTAAGAAAGCTGAATATTCAGATCAATCATTATGTTAACTCGTCTGGATTCATGTATTTCAGACTTGTAAAATATACAACTACAGAGACACCAGTCAACACAGGCCTGGCAAATAACTTTACAAACCAAGGCTTTAGTTTTAAATTTAAACTATATAGGTAATTTCTGAACTTTTTGATGTACTTTATATTCATTACCTACCACCACTCTACTATTCCTTTGTGGTTAAATAGGGCTACACATAAAATTATGTACCCCGGTAAGCCAATAGACACAGAAGTTATGATTAAATGTATATTAATCTAGATCCAATGACAAATACTTTTTATCAGCTGCAAATAGAGAATGCAGAAATTCAAGTTCTTTCTTTTTTTTTTTTTTTTTTCTATTAATTGTATATTAAAATGTGATGTAATAAATACAATGCACAGATTTTAATTATTCGTATATTGCAGTTTGGCATAATAGATAACTAACAGAATACTGATTAACTTTTTTTTTTTTTTTAAATACAAATACAAAAAAAATGAACAAAATAGTTGAAATTCTAGTTCTTTATAAATTGTTGCACTATCCACATGTAACACTCTTAGCCAAATACGTTTTATTTTGGCTCCTATAATGTTTTTCCAATTCAATAATTTGAGAGCGTTGGTGAAAGTCACTGACTTTAAAGATCCCAACAAATTTGCACTGTTACAAAATGTTGCCAGACTCTTGAACATTTACCGGTACTTTGTCTCAGACATTAATTTAGGAAATTGTTTAATGGACTACACATAACTAGTACTAATAATACTGAACTCCATATGGCAGTACAGCTTTAATGACACAAAAACATACACAAGCAAGCATTGTTCTAATTGGCCAATAACCAGTCATACAAAGAATATCATTGATTTTTAGCCAATTAGTAAAACTGATACAATCTTACCACGGTATTCTGACTTCTTTAATTTCTTGTAATGCTGATGGGGCTTTCCCGACAGACACACTCATTAATTGTGGCATATAACTCTGATCACTGCTGGCTACATTCACTGACAGCTGTTTTAATACAACGTTACTCTTCATCCGTAATCTAATCCAGTGGGATCTTGCAGAGCCGTCTGATTGCCAGTAAGAACTTGGATCTCCATTGGTTAACCTGAGATAAAAAAAATTTCAATGAATGAAGATAAGATTTATAAAGGAACCGAATGCCCTCTAGCAGTTGGCTTGGAAGATGTAGTTAAGGGAGATGCCTGAAATCAATTCACTGTTGTTTATCACAGGTAAAAGGTATATTTGGAAAATTTGTCAATAAGTTTGGCGTCAAACATGATGTTATCAGTTAAAAAATTACCGAATATGTACATGGTGATCTGTGGAGAATTATATGAAGTTATCAATACTTTGTACAGCTGGTTGATACAAGTGACATTATGGGCTAGTTTTACTCACCAAGTAACAACCAGCTCTACAAATAAGCAATATCCGGTGATAAGGTACTGTTAAATACTTTATTTTAGCTGGAATTAATTTTCGCTGAATAGACTTTTAGAGTGTTTTGTATGGATTTTATTGATTTTCACTGATTTTTCACCGGTTGAATGTAAAATATACAGAAAAAGGTATATTCGCTTGATTTTATTTTCACTGAATCATTCCTTCAGTGAAAATAGTGAAAATTAATTCCAAGCGAAAATAAAATATTCTACAGCATCTTTTAATCACATGATTAATCCAAGTGCCAATTGTAATTTTATGTAACTATGAATTAACTATGAACCTACGAATTTATGCTAATAAGGCATGGTATCTGAGAAAATTGCAATTACGGCCGATGACAGATAATAATTGGCTGAAAATTACCTTTTCTTCGATATCTTTTTTGAAATTAAATGTTGATAATGTATAGCTAGTATCATTACACCTCATGTGTCACAACTGTGAAAAATATTGCAGTTACGGCCGTCGACAGATATCAATAATTTGCTTTAAATTACCTTTTCTTTGATATCTTTTTTGAAATTAAACGTTGATATTGTATAGCTAGTATCATTACACCATAAGTGTCACAACTGTGAATGATATGCGCCAGTCATGTGACAGTATAACATATATGTATATGATAGATCGACAATACAATATTACCATACCTTGAAGCGTCACCTTTATTAGTAGACGTTTCTATAGATCGGAAACATTTGTGAATGACTTTTAATTCTTCACCACTGCTACCCACAGCTTCCTGTTGTTCTTGAACTGAAAATTATTTAGAACAATAATGACATGCGTTCAAATACAAACTGAAAATAGAAATAGATACCATGTCAACATTTGTTCTCCCAAGGTCCTGTAAGCATGGCTGTATGACAGAGGTTATTGCATGTAAATCTATCTACTATAATGTAAAAATAAATCATATGTCATATTCATATCATATTCTTCTTACTAACTTGTTATATTCTATTCTATTTTTCTGTATTGATTAATATTTCTATTGCTATATACTGAAAGAAATGTATATAAACAATTATTATTATTATGTCAATTGCACGTATCTGTGTGAGAAAGGCCAATGAACAGACGTGTCAGAGACAAGAAGGGCAATTTCTCATTCCTCGTATTTTAAGGCCAAAAAAAACATTTACTCACCTGTCTCTCTTAATTTTTTGAAATGATTCTTTAAGACTGATAGCCTCATGGATGAGGTGTTGTTAAAACCATCTAGTAAGGGAAATGGAAGGCAAGTACTCGGAGCTCTGTTCCTCAGTAAATACTGTCGGTAAAGAACACAGATGCTGGCATGGTAAATAACAAAATTTAGTAGTTGTTTAGACGTTGACCAGTTGAAATTCTGGGTAGGAAGTTGGTGAGAAAAAAAAATGTTGGTTTCCTTCACTTATGAGAGGATTTTTATTTTCAAGATGATGTTGCAAATGTTTGTTTTTTTGGGGCAAATTCCTCAAATTAGCATGGATTGTTTAATATAGTTTTTTATAAATGTTGACTTTGAATGGTAAAGCCACATTACTTCATCAAAAACACTCATAAATGTAAATGAAAATATGGTAGATTTGTAATAAACAAGTCATTGAAAATGACACAGTCCCCGTTAAATTTTTGAAAGTTGTCTGTGCTCGTCATATTAAAGCGGAGGGGTTGTTGCGAGCATGTCCTTGAAACTTGAGTTCCAAGTGGTGTATACAACAGATTGTTTATTTACATCAAAACATGTGTTCCGTGTAGTAGTAATATGGCCAAGAATAAAACAGCTGTTATTCGTCCATCTTTGATCTGATTATAAAACACACTGATATGTATGATGTATGTGCCAAATAAGAATGAAAATGGTACATAAATTGTGGAAATATAGTAGTAAGGCCAAAAAGTCAGATGGCTGTCAATCGGCCATCCTTGACCAGATTTTGAAACAAATTGTCATGGACATGCATCCTAACATGTATAAAGTACATGTATGTGCCAAATTTGAATGAAAACTGGCAGAGCACGTCCAAAATACCACATAAAAAAACAACAACAAGATGCCTGCCAGTCAACCATCTTTGATCCAATTGCGAAATACATCGCCATGGACATGTCCTAACATGTATAATCTATGTAACAAGTTTGAATGACAACTGACAAAACATGTCCAAAATACAACATTTTCAAAAAACAAGATGGCTGCCAGTCGGCCATTTTGTATCGAATCGCTAAACCACTGCATGTGCATATGTCTCACATAAGGTACTAGGCACATGCAAAGAATGAACGGAATCAGTCCACAGGATTCTGAAATATGACTCTGGACAGACTGACGCACGGACGGACGGACAGACGGACAGACTCAGGAACTCACGAACGGTCGGGGACATGTATCCTAACATGTATGATCTATGTACTAAATTTGAATGAAAACTGACAAAGCATGTCCAAAATACAACATTTTCAAAAAACAAGATGGCTCCCAGTCTGCCATTTTGAATCGAATCGCTAAACCACTGCATGTACATATGTCCCACATAAAGTACTAGGCACATGCAAAGAATGAACGAAATCGGTCCAAGGGATTCTGAGATACGACTCCGGACAGACGCACAGACGCACGGACGGACATACTAGTAGACCAAATTGTAAGTCCCAAATTTTCAGACTTCATTCGAACGTGGACTAATAAAGTATGCATTTCCTGATAACACCCAATTGAACACATAAACCACAATAGTGCTGCTTTGAGTAAAATTGACATAACCTCTAACATTGATGAAACAAAAAAATTCTGTAAAATAGCCAAAACAAATAAGCTTACTGATGTATTTCTGATGATGATATTATGTTGGGTGGCTTAACAGTTACATGTATGTCCACCCATTATCAGGGAGACTGTGGGTTTGATTCCTAAAAAAAGAGCACATTCTGCTCACATTCTGCCCCATGTGTTATTCCAGTCCTTGGTGCACATAAAAAATCAGTGTCATTGTCGCATCGAGTAGCAAATCCAAGCCGAATAAGTGAAACTTTCTCTCAATACAATCCCCTCTGAATTAAATATTTGCTGCTTTAGGGCTACTGAATACAATGTTAACTAAACTGCTTCAGAATGTAAAGACAGATAATGTGAATTTTGCATAATGACAGAAAAATTGACACTACAAGACTATATATATATATATAAATATACCTTAAGTAGCTTCTGGCCATGCCCTGTTACATGATTAGATGTGGAATAGACATCAACTAGTGCTGAAAGTACATATCAAAAGATTTAGTTACGCTATATCTATACAAACATATGATAAAAAATTAATGAATGTAAAATGGTGGCAAGTTCTCTACTACATGTAGGTAAACAGTGCTTTGCCCAGTCTTCCACCCTTCAAATTTGGGGTGGCATCACAGTCAGTGAAAGACCAAACATGAAGTAAGACATGGAGAAAACCGAATCCCTGACAGCAAAAGGTACATACCTGGGTATCCAGTTTTACTCATTGAGATTATAAAATACTAACCTGGAGTTAATGAACATCCTTGCAGGGTCCTTATCACATAGTTAAGTTCACCTTGCAAATTAGCACCATTTGATGATTTCAATGCATCAAGCATGGTTTGTACATCAGCACTGCCATCACCTTCAGTATCAAACTGACTGAAAGCCTGCCAAGAATGGATTTAAACAGACATTTAAAATACAAGTCTAGGGGGAACAACTTAGATAAACAGACTATTAAACAGAGAAGTGTCACATTTATGGTGTGTATTTTATGACTACAGGTAGCCAGACATTCTAATGGTACCAAGGTAACACTGTCAACTTTGAATGGCAATGGTAACAAGAGGTCCCATAGTTTTAGCATTTTAAGTGTGATATTCGTTTCAGACAAATTTACATGAAAAAAACAAAAACACGTTCCGCCCAATACTCAGGTTTGTCAGTTACAATGTTGTCACCTGCGAGCATGACACACATATTTCTATGTTAAAGTTTCCAGTATGAAACAAAAAAAGACTACCTGTGTGAAATAACCATTGCATCATGCTTTGGGTAGAAATTTATTAATTAGATTTTTTGATTTTATCATGGAAGTGCTTTTGCACTGCAAATTAGTATAAAGTAGTATTTTATTACTCAGTTACTAGTAGCACAGCATGTTCAGTCTGGCTACTATGGGATCATACATAAAAAATCTGCCTCCATGAACTAATAGAAAATATCGTGGAATTATACAACGTTAAAGAAACATACCTCGATACATTCTTCTCTGCCAACAGAACGGTTCATAAGAAAATCACAGAACTGAGATATAGAAATAGCTTCCTGTAAGGCAATTTGTCAGATGTTAGTTTGGTTCAGTGGATTCCTGAATTAAATTATAGGAGACACAGACATTTCTATGTTTTACACACATGTTCAAGAACCAGTTATTCACTATGCAAGGGAAATAAGAATAGTGTTTGCTGTTGTTATTATTATGTGTCTTGATTATTAAAAGAGTATTTGGTACAATGTTGTCACAGTAGATCACAAGCTACATGTACCTGGCTAGTGACATGATGCTATGATGAAATATTTAAAATAATAACAGTGTGCCAGCCTATATACCAATCCAAAATGACAGGAGAATTTGCATAAATGGGGAATGTAATTTAGAAAAGATTAAGCATACAGCTGTGTAGTTTTTTAAGGGTCGTGAGTTTTTAGAGAATTAAAAAATTATGGAAAGTATGTCAAACTACCAGCTACAGTGTGTACAGTAACCCCCCTCCCCTTACCTCATTTCTGGTTTGTCTGTCTTCCAACCATCTCACTAAGTGACTGTGGTGCTGCTGAACAACATTTTCCGGAACATCGTCTCTGTTGAATAAAAATGACAAAAGTAAATACCATGCTTGAGGGAGCTGTACACTATTACAACTCAGCAGATTGAAGATGCATAGATAAAGTGTCTGGATTCTCAAACAGGCTTGGATTTCGAAAAGAGAGAGTATAATGTGTATTTGTGATTATATACCATGTAGAACAGTTCAAAACTATAAGCAGGTTGTGAGAGCAAA